ATAGAATTTTTAAAAACCTTCCAATATTTATTTTTCTGGTCACGAAGATATTTAAGATCGGCGTTCCACCAAACTGAAAAGTCCTTAGCAAGCTTCTTTTTAGATTGGAGTATCGATTTGTTGGCTGCAAAGCGTATGATTTTGGTAATAGAGCCACTTTCTTGATTGATATTGTCGATTGGCGAGCTTTTTATATTCTTTGTGATCTCTGCTTGAAATACATCCCACTTAGCGAAGTCTGTTTTGAATATGGGGCGGTGGTTATATTTGATAGGGTGGAGGTTGGTTTGAACAGTGATAGAGATGGGGAAATGGTCGCTGCCTTTCAGGTCAGTGGAAATATCCCATTTAATTCTGGGAGAAAGTTGAGGGGAAGCTAAAGACACGTCGACGTGAGTTAATGTTGAATGGGTTGAAAAATGAGTAGGGGATCCATTATTTAATAACACTAAGTGATGATTTAATATGAAATTTTCAATTATTGATCCTCTGGCATTAGATTTTTGTGAGCCCCACAGATGGTTCCAGGCATTAAAGTCGCCAGTCCACAAAATGGGGGTGGGTAATTGCTGAAATAAGTTTCTTAAGTCAGTTTCACTGAAAACTTGCTGGGGGTGGATGTACATAGGTACTTGCTATACCAAATGGCAAGTTCAGATTTAATTTTATTGCTATGGTTGATAGAGATGAGGTTATATTTATAACTTTATGGGGAATGTGTCTTTTTTTTAGGATAGCAACACCTTGTTTGTTAGTTTGGATGTTATTTAAGTTAAAGAAATAGCCTAAGTACTGTTTGGGATAAAAGGGATTGGATATTGGTGTTAGTGGGATATGTGTCTCTTCTATACATATTACGTCTGGGCTTTTCTCTTTGATAAGCAATTGCAGCTCGTGATAGTTGTTGGAATGAATACCCGTTTATATTCCACTAGAGAATTTTTAACGTCATAAAACTTAATCAAAGTAAAAGGAGAGGTAAATATGTATTTATTAGTTGTTGTTTTTCTTTTTATTCCATATCGTTATCAGACGTATTCTGGTTTATAGCAGCAGCTAATACTTGGGAGAGTGATGGGAGAGGTTGGAAGAGTGACTGGAGTTGTGGGGAAGAAGAACGTGAATTGGATGGAGAGAAATGATTGCTATTGTAGTTAGTGTCTGTCTYGATACGWTCAGTGAGATATTTTTGGAATTCGGAAGTCGGAGAGTTAAAAGTTAAGTTGTGTTTGTTAGCATTTTGTGTTGTGGGAATATTATCGTTTGCTTTTGCTGTTTTGTTGGATTTAACTATATTTTTATAGCTTCTCCCATTGAGCATATTAAAATATACCGATTCTCAGTCCGCACCAACAGCAGCAACCACCAATCTTCCCAGTAACAGAAATAAAGAGCAACACTTCAGTTTAATTTTAATCTTCCTTTTTAATCTTTAATTTTTCTTTTTAGGTCTTGTCACATTGGCGTTATAAAAAT